ACTCTCCTACTCCTTCGGCATATGACAGAAAATTTAGGACAGTTCTTTGAGTTGGAAAAATATTAAGGTAAAAGGATTAAAATGTACTAGTATTAAGATTCACAGTGTCTAAGGTCTAGGCCAGAGATAGAAATTAGTCATACAGTCTAGTCAAATCTAATGTGTATTTTGTCAAGATATGACACAGGTGAACAGTTTCCTCATCTATGAAATAATGAAAATGATAATTAACACACTTCTCAGCTTTGAATATTCTATGATACTGCAACATACAGAGGGAGAAAGAGTAAAAATGCAAATGACTGTTTCCTTCTGCAAACCACATTAAACAGAGGAAATTTAGCATATTTTTAAAGCACCCAAACTACTCAAGTGAATCCTGTTTCTTTTTCAAAAATAACTACCATAATATTCACAAATATTCATGATTAAATTGCCAACTCCTAGTCACTGATGGTGCCTATAAATGTAATTCCTATTAGTGGTTTCCTATGAATGAATTCAAGTTTACCTTTTAAATAAAGGTATGAAAAACTTTGTACCTTACAAAAGTGTCAACAGGAAAACTTTGTCTCTTGTGAGCCCTGTCATAACCCCACACCGGATGCAAACCTCAATGTTATTTTACTTCTTAACTTCAGAACGAAGTCTAGATGTAAAGGGCAGGCAAACCAAGTCAACACAGCCACTTGAAATGTCCAGAGACTCAAATGACTAGACAGTATCTCAGAAACAGAAATAGATCCTAAATTATTAGATATTTAGAGATAATGGTGGTAATAGTGATAGCAGCTTTCATTCATTATATCAATAAATGAAATTAGTATTTCATACCTGGTATTTTATTTCATCATAATTAAAACACTACAAGATATGTGAAAATTACCATAGTTTTAGAGACAAGAATCCTGAAACTCACACAGGTAAAGAAAGTAATTTGTCTAAGGTCACACAGTACAAAATTTCAAAGCCCATGACCTTAAATAAAATGGCTCTCAGAGTAGAATTATCATCAATCAGGACAATAAATTTGTAAGCACAGAAGGTCTTGCATTACCATCAATACCACCACTATCTACTTCAAGCTTTATCCTCTTAAATCAATTGTCTTTCACCCCTCAACCTCTGTGTTCAATTAACCTAAAAACCCTAACAATTAACCTAATAAACATAATGATTATTCCCCAATTTGATCAAATTTAGCAAACACTTATAGGACACCCATTATGTTTAAAGCACCATATTACACAGAAACAAAAACTTTGATACCGATGTTTAGCCAGAAGAGACTTTTGCTTTCCCAAGAACAAATGGACAACTGAAGAGAAAGGGAAATTTATCTTATTTATGTTCTTTAGAAATCTGTAAGAAAAAAGTAAGCATGATTGAATCAGCAAATAATTTTCTTGCTTTATACTTAGAATGCAGCAAATCTGCAAATGTACTCATTCATTTATATTTATGTAATTATTACCTATAGATCTAGTATATGAATTTTGAGAAACTGATTTAAAGCTGACACACAACATTCAGTATGTCCCAGACACTGACCTAAGCACTTTACAAATATTGTCTCATTTAATCTCATGATGAGTTCATGAAGTAGCTATCATTATCCTCCATTTCACAGATGCAAGAGGGGGGGAAATCTGAAACTAGAACACTTTACCACTTTGGTAAACAAGAACAACCATATTTTCTGGACTTTATAAGTAGTACAATATCAAAAGGGTAAGAGAGGGAGGAACTCCTCAACTAGTCTTCCTATCCATGTCTATGCTACCTGAAATTTAAATGTCTCATTTGTCTCTGTGCTTTACTTTCCCCATGACTTTTACAAATTTCAAAAAATGGAGGTATCTTTCATATCATGATGCATCTGTTACTTTTTTAATGTGTGTTTTCTGCTCTACACAGATGGGCAGAAACCAGGACTGTAACAGAAGCAGAGAGGTCTGTGTATAAGCCACAACAGCAGTGTTCCTTGCCTCTGAGTGTCTCAATGTGCGCTGTTTCAAATCCACATATCCTATGAAAGCTAAATATGTATGTCTCTCACCTGTTCTACAACCACTCTTATGTCTACCTCACAAAACCCTGTGCTAAATGGTTTGCTGTGCATAATTCTAATACCCAGGAACTTAAGAATCTCTACATTGGGAGTCTACTTTTCTGGTTACTTGGTAAAATAGGAACAAACACCTGACTGGAGCTCTGCTGGAGTGACTTTTTATACTTCTGAGGGGCAGGTGTAGTAAGACTAACACATAAATAAGAATTTGTGCCCTCACCACCTCCCTTGGTGGAACTCACTTATGCATAAAGGCTACGATAGTAGAATGGGATCTTAATTAGAATCTGATTGAAAGTCAGGAATGATAAGGGAAAAGTATGAACAGCAAAAAAATGTTCCTTTAAGGAGATGTTAAATATTAAATTCTACCTAAAGTATTTTATTTATCCAATTCTGTGCAGTAACATGATTGTGATTTACAGTATAATCATGTCCCAAATATGACTTTATATTACTACAAAGAATTTTTCTTTCTCCCTTACAGTTTTGAGTTGGGGCAAGAAGGATACAGACAAGCTCAGATAGTTTAGTCCCTGCAAATTAAAAACATATGTTTTGTAACTCCACCAAAGTATTAATTTTGCAGTTTTCCAATGTTTTTTCTTACGACCTACTAAGCCTTTTCAACTTTTACAAAAAGTAAAATAAAAAGGCTATTTGGTGATAATACTGAAAACCATATCATTTTTAAATAATGCAATTTGTTATGATGGACAGATAGCATTTATACAGTATGATAAAGTCTAAATAAAATTCATTCACGTAAGTACCTACAATTTCATTAAAGTTTAAATTGACTTATTTTTACTAGCAATGTGTCAGAACTGACTTTTAGTCAACTTCAGTGTTTATTTCTGAATTTAAGAACCTCACTGTACTAAAATAGGAATTTAAGAACAACAACAAGATAAAATAATGAAGTACTTTGGTCATATGATATTCATTTATGTTTATGATTATGAACAGTGGTCAAGATGGTGAACAATCTTTAAAGATGAAATGCTAAAAGTCAATAATCTTCCTGTAAAGGAGTCTTTGAAGGTAACCATAAATGTCTTACAGGCAAAAAGAATGAAAGGGAGAAACAGTTTGAAATTGGATTCAGGTTTTTATTTAAGAAAAAAAATTAAAAACCCAGCTAATAACATAACTTCTTAACCAGTTCACTAAGCCATGTTAGGTTTAGATTGTGAGTAGGATACAAGGATGGAAATTAGTGGAAGAGTGGCTTTTGATGGGAACAAAAATAAAGGCCAGCACTGAATTGTCGTCACTCTATCTCATCTCTCAATGGATAAGTAGAAGTGGATGTGGTTCTATAGTAGGCGGGGAATACCTCAGATTTAGCTGGGTTTTTAAAACTACAGAATCTAGCTTTTCACTACACACAATCTGTAGAGTAAAAGATAACATTACACATGTGATCTATACATCAAATAGCAAGAAGGAAAGTAGGATTTTCTTAATTTCAGGATCATGAATTACACAAGTACCTAGGTACATTATTACATTCTTTTCTCTTAAAAATCTGTGTAGTGTTCAAGTAGAAAAAAATGGAAAGCTTGGGAGGGAAGTAAATGTAATACAAAGGTGCAACTTCATGCACTCTGAGAAATAACATGTTATTACACAGTAGCACACTACAAAGTAATACAAGATTCTGTAAGAAAACATTCCAATATCAACAAATAGTATATTGTTAATTCCCTAATACATAAAACTGGCATTTCCAAAATCTAAACAGGAAGCCTATCTCTCCTACTTAACAATATTTTTCAAATAATCAAAAACCATTTTAAAGTTGTGAATAAATTTGTACATTAACCAGTTTAACCTCCCCAAGAAAAAATAAAGCTTCCAGGAATGGACAGTAAAATTCAAGTACTGAGATACCCAGCACAGAGCTCTTTAACTATAATGTAGCTTTTCCCAAAGAGAAACATAAAATCCCATGTTAACAGTCTATTTTTTTGATTCCATGACTATTCCAATTGTTCCCAAAGTATTTAAAATAAATTAAACATAGGCTATGGACAAATATAACAGCAAAACCTCATCTTTTAAGAGTACAGCATTTTTCATTGTAAAATCCATACTGAGCCTGAGCTCTAATCACATACTCAGTTTTCCTTTTACTTTTTAAGCCACTTTGCTTTTAGAGTTAAGTACCCACAAACATTGTATGTGTCTAGTTTCTCTTGGTTAATTCTGACAGAAACAAAAAAACATTTATTATTCATTTAAAGTACAGCCTTTTGGGAAAAGTATCTCTTAACCTCGTCAGCTTATTAGTGAGTCTAGGAGCACAATTCTCTGGTCTAATTTTCTATTTCCTAGTCTCAGTTTTAGAAAAGTTTTTGGAATTTTTTTTTTTTTTTGCTGGAAATGGCCCTAATGTTTAGAACTTTCAGCATATATAACATTAGCTTGATCCTATTTTCTTTTAATTGCACACAAAGAAATGTCATCTCTCACGTCTGTTCTGTGTTGATACACTTCCCAGAGACAGGACTACATTTGAGAGCTGATAGACATCGCTGTTGATTACTGAGGTACGACTAAGGGAGGGGAGGCTGAAAGCTGGTTTGTTGAAGCCACTGCCATCTCTCAAAGGAAATCACACATGAAGAAACATAGCTATTTAAGTTCAGAGAGCATGCAATGTGGCACCCTAAGTTCTTCCAACTGCAGAGAGAACTATTAGCAGTCTAGGTACATCAATAACACCAAGACTATTTCCTTGCTTATAGGAAATATAATAAATTCACAAAGTTTGGCAGTTTACATAAAGAATTAAATACACTATGAAGGTAGTGAATACTCTATTTCCATGAAATAGAGCTTACAGCTTTGTAAAGTCTGAAGCCTTGAGTTCAAACCCCAGGCCCACCAAAAAATTTAAAAAAAAAAGAAAGTTGAAACTTACTCTAGATGAATCATAGGAGGGGCTTGGTTGACCACTCGTTCCCCAAGATGTTGTACCTCCACGTTCATCCATACCTAAGGAAAGAAGAGAGTGAACCATGTAAAATTTAAGCAGATATTTTGGTGGATGCTTTTTGTATGGTACAGCAGACAGTACAATTTAGAAAGTGTTATCTGCATTTTTGTGGAACTGGTTTAATATTGGTTGCCTCAGAAACCTGTAGAAAATAAGTTGATTCAAAGTATCTTTATCACTACTCCAGCATTTCTTGAACAATGTCCTGCATACATTACGGAATTTCAGAACCAAAATATTTCTTTGGAGACTTTAGAAGAGGGTATAACTGAGGTCTCTCCATCTCTGTTCCCATCCGTTGCTATGAGTGCAGGAACCCTCAAATTTTCTCTAGGTTAGTATTGCCTACATGAAAATATGAAGAATTCAGTTGCTGAAACATTAAAAACAAACCCAGTCTAACAACCATTCATTTTAATATAGTGGTTTCTATCAGATCAGGGATTAGATGTTCTTAACTGACGATATCAAACTATATCAAACCATATCAAATCAACATTAGTTATATCAAAACTAATCAAAATGACATGACAACTCACCCTTGTAATTCTGTGGGTAACACTTCAGTCTCATCCAAAATCACAAACAATCTGCCTTATGAAAGTTGCAAAGGAAAATTCAAAGTGAGAATCAGGAACCACTTTGAACAAAACAATTCATTGTGTCTTTGAATGTACCTTCTGAGCTTGAACTGGGCTCTATTACTTTCACCTTTCCACCAGTCCCCAGCAAAAAAGGTCTCACAATCCAGCCATTTCTATCCTTTCTGCTTCAAGCAAGTTATTTCTACCTTTTTAATACTGAAGAGTCCGTATTTCTTTTTACCCTTAATTCTAGAAGGGTATATTTTCCCAACCCCTTTGAGCTTCTTTTTATGATAAAAAATAGTGTTGGCTTAGTTTCATTTGTACATGAGAAAAACCTAGATACTATAATGACAACACTCTGCTAAGTTTAGAACTTCTCTTTCAGAAAATTCCTGGAACTCCTCTGTGATTTAGGTGAGAATGTAGTGTGTGATAAATAAAATGCCAAACTTTCCAGTAACTTGTCACAATTCCCAAGTCTCTTCTACGGGACAGAATTGCCAATTCAAGAGATGGGTGGCAAAAAAAAAAAAAAAAAGCAGGGTAAAAGGGATATCAGTTTACAAAGTAGAATGTATTTTAATAGCTTCTTAAAAACAAGTTAATAAATGACTCAAATTTAAATATCTTATCACAGTACACTGCTATAACTGTTCTATTTATTATTAGTTACTGCTAATCTTTTACTATACCTAATTTGTAAATTCAACTTTGTCATAGGTATGTATGTATATATTGAACAAAGTACACCCCTAGGGTTTGGTACTGTCCCCAGTTTGAAGTATCTACTGGGAGCCTTGAAATGTATTCCCCCACAGATGGGGGAGAGGGACTACTATACAGATAATATTCCAAACACAATTTCAAGTGGATCTGCTTTGAAACCCAGGGATTATGCATAAAAACACATAAAGTGTTGCTTACTCTTGGAGACATTCTTACTAAAGGTCGAAATTTAGGGAAGATTCTACAAATACGGAGTGTCATTAAAAAACACACTTTGTTACCTCTCCAGTATCACTAGTTTGTAAGTGATTTTCTATGCATTTTCTTTGTAATCAGCACCGTAGAACGGCGGACAGAATTCCTAAGACCCTAATAAAGAAAAAGGCTACTATTAACCTACAAATCCACAAGCATACAATGACATGGAATTGTAAGTAATTTTATGAAAAGTTATATGTAAAGAAATACATTTTCACTGATCATATAACAGAAACTTATTTTGACAAATCTTGTCCTTAATGAAAATAATCAGACCATAATTTTGCTCTTTTAATGACTGAATTTTGGGGCTGGTGGAGTGCTCAAGAAGTAGAGCACCTTCCTAGTAAGTGTGAGGCCCTTGAATACGAGTCCCAATACCACCAAAAGAAAAAAAGAATGACTAAATCTTCTTATAGCAAATGATTAACAAATATGAGACTTCCATGTTAAATACATTTGTAAAAGGAAATATAGAAAAGATAAGTGCTAGCTACAGATAACTTCTCAAGCAATTGAAACGACATACTCAATTTTCATCAAATGAATCTTAATTCCTTCTATAAAATGAAGGAACAAAGACTAATTAACTAAAATGGTAATTAATTGGGTAACTGAGTCACCAATACCACTGCTATTGGATGTGGCAAAGGGTTCAAAGGATGCTATAGAATCACAAGGATCTGGCTGGGCTTTAAACTCGGAGCTCTGTAGTTTTATTGTCAACATATCCAGACTGAGTAAAAGGTCGTGGCTGGCACTGACAAAGGCAAGAGTCATCTTTTTGTATCAATGACTCCTTTCTGCTGAAGACAATGGTTGTACAACCCAGAAATATGACAGGAATAATAAACCCTCCAAAGCTTCACTCATAAGACCAAGGTAAACAGAAAAAAGAAATTAAACCAGAAGATACGATTCTTAATAAAAATACTGTACAGACTAATCAAAATCTGAAAAACAAGAAATATACCAGGATTGCAATAGAGTGATGAGGGAAGAAAACATTTCTGTTTTGATAAACCTGAAAATAGATCATTCCCATTCTGGAACATACATACAATTCAACAATTTTTATGAGGCTAAATTCCTTAATTCATAGATTTAAGAGACAGGTATAAGAGGAATCTTAGCTAAGTAATCAAATGATAGAAATATTTGGAGTCATACTTGGCTTTCTTCTTTCTAAGGAGTATGTTAATTAGATTTACTTAACCATCCCACAAAGTGCACACATATCAAAACATCATGATGTTTGCTTGGCTTTCTAATAAATGATTCTATTTCTATTCAGAATTAAAAGGGGTAATTGGAAGTTTGACTTACATTGAAACTCAAATGTCTCTTTGCTTTTTAAATTTTTCAAATATTGAATTTTTTAGTACTTGCTTTTCTGAATGGGACAGTTAATAAAATGCAGTGATTTTTTTTTAATTTTACATGCCCCATTTCTAAAAACCATGCTATTTTTATTTAATATTTTCCAGGAAAGAATATTCAACTTTAGACCACATACTTAAGACAATGTTTAGTGAATTTGATAAAAGCAATATGTCTCCTTCTTTTGTAAGTTGATTTAATAAGAAAAGTAAAGGTAAGTCAGAAATGACATATACAGACAGCTCCCTAGAGGTTGATTCCTTAGAGAAGGAACCAAATTTTCAAAGTATCGGATAGTAAGGCTCTTGAAGGGCCAAGTCCAGGCATTACTCCCTTTTCCAAGACAAACTTAGATATAGTCTATTGCTTCTGTTTCACTACCATCATTTGTTTTTGACTGCAAGTACTCTTTTTCTAAATTTGATCCTAAAACTACTTCCAGTTTCTATACCACTCCTTCCTCTTTATCATGCTAGCATCTAGTCCTATAGGTTTTTCTAGGTTTTTATACACTAGCAGAAACTGAAAACATTCTTTTTGAGGAGAGTGATGTTTCTATGCCCTACCCACTTGTTTTTTCTCCCAAGTAGGCACTGCAGACAAAGATGATTAACACTACAGAATTTGAGTACAAAAGGCATTTCTCAAGGTTTGATGAGGCTTAGACAAGATCTGCCTTGAGATAAAAGGGTGACTCATGTGGCAAAGCTGCTGAGAATGAATTACATTTCTCCTTCTCCCTTACGCCTCTACTCAACCGATCAGCAAATACCCTAACATGCTAAACTAAAACTAGGATAAATGAAGAAGGACTGGAATTGGGAACATATTTCAGGTAACAGTGGAGAGTCTCTCAACTGAGAAACAATGAAAGGAAGAAAGAGGGGATGCAATGAATAGAGAAAGGAGAGCCAGTAATTAGGATATCTAAATAGCAAAGCAGCAAGAAAAGCAAAATAAAATAGTCATACTGCATAGGTACTCATGATAGTCTATCCCTGTGGAAAAGAGACATGTAAAGTTGGGAGGAACAATTTGCCCTCCCCCCACCCTCCCCCCAGCACAGTCTTTTCTAGCAGCGAAATTAAATTCTTTATTCTAGCAAGTAAAATGTACTCCAAAAATATCAAATCCCTGCACGGTCACAAACAAATGAAAAATAATATATTTGCAGGATTGCCATCTGTCATATAGGAATTCGATAAATGATTTGGTGAAAGAAATTTGATTGGAGATAACCATATCAAATAACCAAAGCTATGAATGTGTCTGTCTTCAATAGTTTCTTTATTCAATTTTATTTGTGGAATAATGATATTCCTTTAGATAAGACTCAAAGGCTGCAATCGATTGTAAATTAATATACATCTAAAAACCTACCACCATTTTTCGTTGTATTTTTTTGGATTTAGATATACATGAAATAAACCTATTAAGGTGTTCTCCAAGAAATTCTGTGATTCACGATCAACTAGAATATAATAACAAGTTTTTGTTACTATGCTACACATTAATGAAAAACAAGTAAAAGGGAAAAACTAAGGCAATATTAGTATCACAAGGAAATATAGGAGAAGACATGCTGCCTTATCTGAAATATATAACACTGGTTATAAAATTTGTTTTAACTTCTAAGAGATTCTTATGTTTTTCTCCATAGAGGCACTAAAATCAGTCAATTCCTTTAATTTTTTTTAAAGGCGTGGTGCTGTTCTTCAACACTGGATGCATCATACACACACACACACACACACACACACACACACACACACACGCACACTCCCTTCTCAGTCTTTCAATGGTCCAACCTCATTAGATTTACCTTGTAAACGTTTCCAAAATCTGACTAAGACCTAGTATGCTCAATATTATCAAATCACCTCTGACCTGGCTTGCTGTAATAGTCTCCTACATGGGCTCCCTTTCTTTTTCTTACCCCGCCTACAGTGGGAACTAGAGTAGCCTTTTAAAATAAATCAAATCATGTCAGTCTTTAGCTTGTTGTCCACCAGTGGATTCCCATCTCATTCCAAACTTAATCCAATGGC